GCTGTGGGATAAAGCACTGGACCGCAAAGGTCAGTTGAAACTACAAAGACGGTGATTCAAACTCACTAGCCACTCCTTGTAAACCCTACACAGGGTAACTTTGAGTCAAAACTGACTCAACGGCACTTTGCAACAACAAGGGTTCTTTATGAAACAAAATAAAATGACTTAAGCTATCATGGTGAAAACTCTGGTCAAATATATGCTCTCCTGTCTTTTTAAGGAGCTACAGGAGTACAGTTGGTTATGAGTTGGACTGCTAACTACAAGGTCAGCAGTTCAAATCTACCAGCTGCTCCATGGGACAAAGATGATGCTTTTGCACCCATAAAGATTTACAGCCTTGGAAACCCTTTACAGGGTAGCTATGAGTTACAACCAACTTCATGGTACACAGCCACCACCACCATCATCTGTCTTTTTGTAGTCCTGGTGTGGCTTTTTAAAATAAGCACTGGAGTGTTAACCACAAGGTCAACAGCTTAAACCCACCAGTCATTCCTTAGAAACTCTATACAGGGTCGCTGTGTGTCAGAACCAACTCAACAGTGCTTAACAGCAACATCTGTCTTTTTATCTGTATATAAGTACACACCACACAACTACAAACTTAGTTATAAAATTACACTCGTATTTGCTTTTTCTATTTCTGTTCTTGGAATAGGAATGGCATTGCATTCATCACCTAAAAGAACATTGCAAAATTGATCCTGAGGTACCAATGCTGTCTGTGATTGGATAATATCCATATGCCTACAAGGAAGACCAACTAATACCACTATTATTGAAATTTATCCACCAACCACTAAAGCCAGTGATGATGATATTAAAAGATTCTACCAACTTCAGTCTGAAATTGATTGAACAAATAATCAAAATACATTGATAATTACTAGTGATTGGAATACAAAGGTTGGAAACTAAGAGGAAGGATCAGTGATTGGAAAATATGCCCTTGGTGATAGAAATGATGCTGGAGATCGCATGATAGAATTTTACAAGACCAATGACTTCATCATTGCAAGTACCTTTTTTAAACAACATAAAAGACAACAACTATGTACAACTATTCCACTAGATGGAATGCACAGAAATCAAATAGACTATATCTGTGAAAGGAGATGGTGGAAAAGCTCCATATCATCAGTCAAAACAAGGCCAGGGACAGATTGTGGAACAGACCATAAATTGCTCATAATGCAAGTTCAAGCTGAAGTTGAAGAAAATTTAAAACAAGTCCACAAAAGCCAAAATAGGACTTTGAACAAATCCCACCTAAATTTAGAGATCATCTCAAGAACAGATTTGGTGGCCAAAGATCAGAAGAGTTGTGGGATGACATCAAGAATATCATACAGGAAGTAAGCAAAAGGTCATTAAGAAGGCAAAAAAAGAAACAAAAGACCAACGTGGATGTCAGAAGAGACTGAAACTTGCTCTCTAGTGTAAATATGCTAAAGCATATGGAAGAAATGAGGGTACAAGAACTGAACAGAAAATCTCAAAGGTCATCTTGAGAAGACAAAAGTCAAATAATATAACAAAATGTACAAAGACCTGGAGTTAAGAAACCAAAAGTAAGAACATGCTCAGTATTTCTCAGGCTGAAAGAACTGAGGAAAAAATTCAAGGCTCAACTTACAATATTAAAGGAGACTATGGCCAAAATATTAATGATGCAGAAAGCATCAAAAGAAGATGGAAAAAATACACAGAATCACTGTACCAAAAAGAAATGGTTGATGTTCATCCATTTCAAAGGTAGCGTATGATCAAGAGCCAATGATCCTAAAGGGACAAGTCCAAGGTACAATGAAGGCATTGGCAAAGAACAAGGCCTCAAGAATTGATTAAATATAAATTAGAGTCTTTCAACAAACTGATGCAGCACTGAAGGCACTCATTCATCTATGCCAAGTAATTTGGAAGACAGCTACCTGGCCAACTTACTGGAAGAAATCCATGTTTGTGCCCATTCCAAAGGAAGGTGACCCAACGAAATGCAGAAATCATAGAACAATATCATTAATGTTACATGCAAGTAAAGTTTTGCTAAAGATGGCTGCAGCAGTACATAGACAGGGAACTGCTAGAGATTCAAGGCCGGATTCAGACAGAGAGGTGAAATGAGGGATATCATTGCTGATATAAAATGGATCTTGGCTGAAAGCAGAGAATAAACAGAAAAATGTTAACTTGTGATTTAATGATTATGCAAAGGTTTTCGATTGTGTGGATCTTGACAAGCTCTGGACAATATTTCAGCGAATGAGTATTAAGGAACACTTAATTATGCTCATGAGAAATCTGTATGTAGACCCAAGAGGCAGTCATTCGAATAGAACAAACCAAAGGGACAATGAATGGTTTAAAATTAGGAAAGTTGTGTGCTAAGGTTGTATTCTTTCAGCATACTTATTCAGTGTATATGCTGAGCAAATCCGAGAAGCTGTATTATCTGAAAAAGAACATGGCATCAGAATTGGAGTACAGACACTTGAACAACCTGAGATATGCAGATGATACAGCCTTGCTTTCTGAAAGCGGAGAGGACTTAAAATAATTACTGATGAAGATCAAAGACCACAGCCTTCAATCTGGGTTGTACTTCAATGTAAAGAAAACAAAAATCCTCACCATTGGACTAGTGAACAATATCCATATAAATGGAGAAAAGATGCAGCTTGTCAAAGACTTCATTTTGCTCAGATCAGCCATCATCACTCATGGAAGCAACAGTCAAGAAATCAAATGGTGAATTGCATTAAGACAAATCTGTTGCGCAAAACTTTTAAAGTGTTCAAGAGCAAAGATGTCAGTTGTGGACCCAGGTGCGCTGACCCAAACTATGGTATTTTCAGTAACTTTATATGCATGTGAGAATTGGACAATGAATAAGGAAGACCATAGAGGAATTGATGTGTTTGCATTATGGTGTTGGGGGAGAATATTAAAAGTATCATAGACTGCTAAAACAACAAGCAAATCTATGTTGGAAGAAGTATAGTGAAAATGCTCCTTAAAAGCCAAGATGGCCAGACATTGACCCTCATACTTTGGAAATATTATCAGGAGGGGCCAGTCCTTGAAGAAGAACATCATGTTTGGTAAAGTGGAGGGTCAGTGAAAAAGATGAAGACTTCCAATGAGATGGATTGGCACAGTGGCAGCAGCAGTGGGCTCAAGTGTAACAGCGACTGTGGCATTGGCACAGGACCAGTGTTTTGTTCTGTTGTGCATAGGTCGCTATGAGTTAGTACTGACTCAGTGGCACCTGACGACAGCAACAACATTCTTAGACTTATAGATAATGATGGAGAAAGCCATAAAACACAACAAATTGGTCCTAACACAAATTCATTTTATTCACTAAGACAGGTGGGGAAACTTTTTTAAACATCATTCTTGGCCATACAGAATTATCAACTTAAAAATTATCCTGCTGTATGTAGTCAAACATTTCATTAACTCACTCCTAATGTGATGGAGTCCTGGTGTAGCGCTGTGGGGTAATGCACTGGACTGCAAAGTCAGTTTGAATCACAAAGTTGGCAATTCAAGCTTACGGGCACTCCTTGAAAACCCTATACAGAGTCTCTGCGTCAGAACCTACTTAACTGCATTTAACAGCAACAGTGTGATGGCTGAAACTGCTGTGGCCTTGGCTGGGCCAGACTGAATGATTTCTTGGACCCTATCTGGCTCACGGGCTGAACGTTCCCCACCCCTACTCTAAGACTCCTTACCCTTTCTACCACAGCATTTATTCCTAACTGTCCTTGAGCTTTTATCTGAATCTTCAATGAACACACTAACCCTTTTTACTGAAGTGACCTCACTTACAACTTTCTTAAGAATATCAAAATATTCAACCTGGGCTCTTTGCTGTTCACGTTTCCTTTCTCCAATTTTCCGTTTATGTTCACCTATTGTCTTCTTTCTGTGTTAGAGGAATAATTATTCCTTCTTATATTTACACAGAAAAGGAAAGGAAACAGCATGTGCAAAGAAAGGCCTGGAACCTTGAGAGGAGAGAGTTGTTGGAAGAATGTAGGTTTTCCTTTGTGGACAAATGAGCTTCAGAGTTAAAAGGCTTGTCTTAAATGCAAGTTCTGCAGCTTCTTACTTTGAATTACCATCTTTCTTCATTTTTCTTTTTTCTCATCTACAAAATGAGGCTAACATTACCCTCTCAAAGGGTTGTTGTTGAATAGCATGTGGTAAACAACCAACAGCTTTTGTTGCTGTTGTGGTTAGAATAAGAGTAAAACTGATAATAGTTCTTTTTAGATTAAGTGTTTATTTTTCTGTCTCTTGCACTAACTATAAAATATAAGTCCTGCAAAGTTAGAAACTCTATCTTACTTATCTTTGGGTTTTAACACACCTAGTACATACCCAACACACATAAAATAGAGAGCCCTGGTATGGCATTGTAGGATAAGCACTGGACTGGTAACCACAAAGTCAGCAGTTCAAACCCACAAACCACTCTCAGAAACCCTATTCAAAGTTGCTTTGAGTCGGAACTAACTCCAGGGCATACAACAACAATGGTGCTTAATGAATGAATGGTGGCTGTCTGCCGTGGAGTCAGTTCCAACTCATAGTGACCCTGTACAGGGTTTCTGAGGCTGTAAATCTTTACGGGAGCAGAACGCCTCATCTTTCTCCTGCGGAACAGCTGGTAGTTTTGAACTGCTGACCTTGCGGTTCACAGCCCGATTCATAACCATGCTACCAGAGCTCCTTAATAGTCAACCTCAATTTATATTGATTAAATTGATCAATAAATTCACTCGTCTCCCCCCTTCCATTTGAATAATTAACACCTTCCAAGAATTTTCTAATCACATTGTTAAGGAATATATGTTCTTCCTGTTTCACTGTTTCCAAATCTGGCTTTAATAGATCACTTTTGCATTATAGACTTGAGTTAATGTAGTTTGAGTGTGCTCTCAATCATAGTTAATGAACTTGGTCTTTCTTGTTTCCTTCAGGGAGGTGGTGCAAGCAAACTGTGTTCACTGGAGAAAGAAGTTCTCATTTATGTGCAAAATGAGTGCAAGTGCCTCCACGGGTATCCTGGATCCTTGTATCTACAGAGTGTCTGTGAGGAAGGTACAAAAATAGCCTAGTCCTTCTCCCCTTTCAGAAACCATAATTAGTTCCATAGTTGCCAACTTGCTTTATTTAGCTCTGCTTTGTCTTTTTCATCAGAACTGTTAATATATGTAATTTCACTTCACACTTGCAGCAGTAATTTAAATGACTAGCTATGGCAGATATGAAGACTTTAAAGTTATAAATTAAAACATTAAGAACCTTCATCCCACTGTCACTGTACATAGAGCTATTTAGCCTCATTTGTATTAGTCTAGAGGCTATCCATGTCTAATTCGGTTCATACCAGTCATTGAATTCTAGTTCTTTGTTTGGCATTGTGTTGAGCCTTTATGCATACAATTTCTAACAGCTTTGAAATTCAGCATCGTTTTCTCCATTTTCAGGAAACCTAAGCTCAGAGGTTAAGTTAACTTGCCCAAATTCACACAGCTAATAAATGGCAAAGTAGGCACTCAAACCCAAATCATTCTGATTTTAAGTCCTATCCTTTCATAGATAATTGCATTCACATATCAGATTGAGGCAGACTGCCAACAGTCTACAAAAACAGGATTTTCATATGGTTCCACCTAACGATATAAAAGTGTGGCCTTCTCTTATTTAAGTAAAGAAGAATCCATTACCATTACTGGTGAATTAAATTAATAGCTTTAATATATAAAGTTTATATTCTGCATTTTAAATATTTTTTTCAAATTATCAAAGTAACACTGCTTATGATTAAAAGATTAAATATAAAAGGATTTAGAATGAAAAGCAAGAGTATCTTGCCTTGCTATTTTCTGTTCCAGTCCTGCTCTCTTCTGTACCAGATTTAAAAGTTCTATTTTTAGCTTTCTTAGTCTGCCTTTTGAATAAACTGATAGAACTAAGGTGTGTGGTGGGGGAGGGCAGGGTAGCGGTATTTTTAACTCTCATCTCTACTCAGCTAAAATATAACAAATATATATACATATATACACAAAATGATTTTTAGATGTTTCAAACCTTTAATGGAAATATATTTCTAAAATATGGAAGATACATTGCAGAGGAATCACTTACATGATGCAGTAGTTCAGGTAAGACATTCTTATGTTTTGGCATAGTGTTATAACAGCACAAACAGTCAGATTCAGAACATAGTTTAGTTGTAGACCCCACTGGCAGATGCGATATAGGGAGTGAGGGGAAAAGAAAGTTGAGGATAATACTTAGACCACTTGCGTGGTGATTTCAGGTTCTTGTAATGAGCCAGGCACTTTGGAAATCTTCAGCAAATGGATTAAACATTCGCTTTTATTCTCATGATTTGTCTCTTTCAGATTAAAGTTAAATTCTAAATAAAAATTATGGTCATTTAGGGAGATATCAGGCTCTAAAAGTTGGATTTAAGATCATCATAATTTTTCTGCCTATGTTATTTGTCAGTACATAAATGTCTACTTCAGTATTATTTGACATATATTTAATCTTAAATAATTATATCCTTATCATATTTTCTATCTTTGATAGGAACTGAAAGGTGGGAAAGCCTATGCAAAGGTAAGTAGATGTTACTTAACTCTTTAGGAACTTGTATTTACTGGTGCTGCACTATAGGATAAGCACTGGACTGCTAACCACAAGTTTGGTGGTTCAAACCAACCAGCTGCTCCTTGAAAATCCTATACAGTATCACTGTGAATCAGAACTGACTCAGTGACACTTAACAACAATAGCATTTATTGCCCATTGCTATTTATAGGTTTAAAAATTAAGTCGTGTACTGTCTAACTGCTTTTCAAACTTTGCTGTTTTTAAATAAAGCAGCTTGGATCCAGTAAAAAAAATTTTTATACAATGTCTTTCTAAATGCTGCTGATGAGTTACTATTCTTAAGTTTTAGCTTTAGTTTTTAGGATTAGTTCTGATTGGCATTAAGCTATATTTTTTTAGCTACTGTCTAGTCAGTACCCAACTCACAGTGACCCCCTGCACAACTGAACAAATCACCGCCTGGTCAGGGGCCATCAGAACATTGTGATCCATAGGGTTTGCATTGACTGATTTTGAGAAACAGATGACCAGACGTTTCTTCCTAGACTGGATGCTCCACTGAAACTTGTTCACATCTTTGTTGCTGTTGTTAGATTCCGTTGAGTTGGTTCTGACTCATAACAGCCTTATGCACAACAGGACAAAACAATGCTCGGTCCTGCGCCATCCTCATAGTTGTGTTACACTTGAGCCCATTGCTGCTGCCACTGTGCCAATCCATCTTGTTGGGGTCTTCCTCTTGTTCACTGACCATCCACTTCACCAAGCATGATGTTTTTCTCCAGGGAGTAGTCACTCCTGATAACATGTCTGAAGTATGTGAGATGAAGTGTTGCCATCCTGACTTCTAAGGAGCGCTCTGGCTGTACTTCGAAGACATCAGTGTTGTTCTTGTTAAGTGCTATTGAGTTGGTTCTGACTCATAGTGACCCAGTAGAGGGTTTTGAAGGAGCAGCTGGTGGGTTTGAACTGCTGGCTGACCCTGTGGTTCACAGTCTAGTGCTTATTTAAGACATGATCTTGTTACGTGCCATCAGGTCGAATCCTACTCATTGTGACCCTATATAGGGATTCCAAGGAGCAGCTGGTAAGCTTGAACTGCTGACCTTGCAATTCAAACTGACCTTGTAGTCCAGCACATCAGCATCATGTTGTTGTTGTTAATGCCATTGGGTCGGTTCCAACCCACAGCGACCCTGTGTAGGGTTTCTAAGGAGCTGCTGGTGAGCTTGAATGGCCAACCTGACCTTGCGGTTCAAACCAACTTTGCAGTCCAGCACATTCACCCACAGCGCCACACCAGGACTCCATCCTAAAGCAGCATACAAATCACCACTGGCAGACGGGTGGGTGGTGGCTGCACGTGAGATTTATTGGCAAGGAACCAAGCCTGTAAATGGAATGTAAGAATTTGTTCATTCAGAAAGTCTCTTCAGGAAACATTTCCAAGCCCGCCTCTCCCCTGAATAGAGTAGGACTCCTTCTCTGTGGTCTCTGTAAACATGTGATCATTACCATACTTTGTTAACAGTTGCTATTGTTGCTTGACATGGAGTTGATTCCAACATGTAATCGGACAGAGTAGAACTGCCTCTTAGGGTTTTCTAGCTGTAATCTTGATGGGATCAGATCACCAGTTCTTTTTCCCCTTGGAGCCATTGGTGAATTTGAACTTCCCACCTTTTTGTTTGGCGGCTTGTTGTTTATCCTTTGCCCCCCCAAGTTATTGTTACAATAACTAGCTATATGGAATTATTAGTAATGTGTTCACCTTTTTTACTGAATAGAAGGAATTCGTAATTAGAATACTACTGTTGTTGTTTCTGTTGTTAAGTGACTCATAGTGACCCTGTCTAGAGTTTCCCGGGAGCGGCTGGCAAACTGAATCACCAACCTTGAGGTTCAAACTGGCATTGCAATCTAGCACATTAGTCCACAGTGTCACACACACCAGGACTCCTAGAATACCACTAGAAGTCTCATAAAATCAAAAAACCCACTTTTGTCAGGTCAATTCCAATTCACAGTGATCCCATAGTACAGAGGTTGTAAATATTTATGGAAGCAGACTACTTCATCTTCCTCCTGCGGAGTAACTGGTGAGTTCACACCTCTGACCTTTCAGTTAGCAGCCCGGTTCTCAGCCCACTGCATCACCATGGTGCCATAGAACTCCCATACTCTGCATTTCCCCTCCCCCGCCCCCCAATTCTCTGTGAAGGGTATCTGAACAGGGACCTGGGCGTTAGTTTAAACCAGTAAATCTAATGAACTCCCTAAGTGCACTTGGTTGTAATGTCAGCTTGTATGCTCTTTTCTATAAGTAACAGAAAACTCCTTATCCAGATATTTTCATATAAAATAGATAGATGTGAACTAGAGCTGCTCTGTGATTGGTCAGTCTACTGATTGAGCATCCTCACCAAGAACCCATATTACTTTTCACATTCTGTTCTGTCATTCTCTTTGTGTTCCCTTGGGGTCACCAAGTAATAGTTGCTCAAGATTTGGTCAACACACTCATGTGTGACGAACTCTAGCTGCCTCTCCCTGTGTGATTCTTTTAGAGGGGGATCTTTTTTCCTTGGTGATCCTCAGAGGATTTCCCTGAACCTTTGTCCAGAACTGGATCATATGCCCACCCATAAATCAGTCCAGGGCAATAGGTATGGTGTGCTATGATTAGTTTACATTGTAAACTGGGAGGTAGTGGTTAAGTGATCTTTCTTGTGCACATGGATGAGTTGAGGGAAAGTGGGCAGCGACAGGTTTATAATTAACTTAGAACTGTTAGTCTTTATCCATGGTTCCTGAGAGATAACCTCTAAAACCATAGTTAAGGTGTCTTTGTTATCTACAAGGGCTTTAGTTCATAGCCCTAACTGAAAGATTATGCTAATGAAGTAACTCAAATGGGGACTGTTGTTAAGTGCCCTGTTTTTTTAAGTAGCTGGTGAGTTTGAACCGCTGACCTTGTGGTTAGCAATCTATTGATTACCCTATAGCACCACATCAGGGCTCAAGTGGGGGTTGTTGCTGTTGTGGTTAAGTGCTGTCAAGTCAGTTCCAACTCATAGTGACTTCGCATAGGGTTTCCAAGGAGTGGCTGGTGAGTCTGAACCACTGATCATGCAGTTTGAACCAATCTTGAGGTCGAGTGCTTATCCTGTGGTGGCGTCACACCAGGACTCCTTTGTTGTTGTTATGTGATATGGAGTTGGTTCTGAGTCATAGTGATTCTGTACAGGGTTTCCAAGGCTATAAATCTTTATGGGAGCAGAAAGCCTTGTCTATCTCCTGCTGACAGCTGGTAGTTTTGAACTGCTAATTGTGATATAAGCAACCCAATTCATAACCACTACGCTACCAGAGCTCGCCATGCCCAAAAGACCCACCTTGTGATATCAGTCAGCTTCACAGAGGAGGGAAAGGGGGTTCAATCTTGGTGTGGCACTGTGAGTTAATGCACTGGACTGCAAAGTTAGTTTGAACCACAAGGTCAGCAGTTCATCAGCTGCTCCATGGAAATCCTATGCAGGGTCACTGTGGGTCAGAACCAACTCGATGTCATTTAACAGCAACAACAATGTAATGAGGTCCCAGTAAAGGTTCTCTGCACACAGAACTTCCATGGAGTCCCTGGTTGGTGAAAATAACCATTTCTTAGGTGAGTAACACATATTTAGGACCTGATATTTCCACTTTGGAACCCTCTCAGACCCTTCACCCTTATGCATATCTTCATTTGTATGTGTCTTTCTTTTTGCTGTAAGTACAGTGCTTTCCTGAGTTCTGAGTTGTTCTAGTAAATTATCAAATGCAAGGTAGTAGTGGGAACCACAGGTCAGAAGTGAGGGGCCCTGGGGGACCTCTGATCTTATGGCTAGTATCCTCAGATTTGGAGCCAGAAAATCAGAAGTGAAAGGGCACTAAGGACCCCTGAACTTACAGCTGGAATCCTGATGGAATAGTGGAAACCCCCAAATTTGTAGCCAGCAGGTCAGAAATGAAGGTGTCACGGGACTCTCAAGCTTGTAGCTGGTATCTGAAGTCTTGGGTGACGTCACTCCTGGTAGTTAGGGAAAAGTACTGCATGTGCAGTCGGTGTTAGAACTGGGACAGAAGCAAAACAGAGCAGATTAGAATCAGATTGTTTGTATACCAGCTCAACACCTGAGTAAAATCAGAGCTCTGGCAGCAAAGCCTAGCAGGGTATTGATTATTGGATAGGCAACCAACAGGTTCTGCTATGATTGACAATTGTTCTTGATTTTTTTCCTTTTGAACATGCTCTTGAAATCATCCCTCCTTTCCCTTCTCAAGGTCACACTACCTACCATACATTATGGCACCACTATTTCTTATTTAAAATCTGCATTGGCTTCCTATCTAATCTCTGTACCTCTGTGGTTATTTCCATATTATTTCCAGAGTGATCTTTCTAAAACTAGCCCCTTAGCACTAGCCACTGCGTATAAAAGAAAATAAGACCCATCTTGATTTGCATATCATCTGTGTACCGCATCTCTTGTATCTAATTCTGTACACACACACACATGTCCTTATGCTTCAGACATACTGCCCCCATAAACTTCCTAAAGCATCTCATTGCTATTTTAGCCTCCTTGCTGTGTGACTTGATGTTTGTTCTCCCTGCCATGCCTACATGCAATTTTCCCTCCTCTTGGCCTGTCAACTCACATATCATTAAAGACTCCACTGAGTCATCCCTCTCCACATGGAAATTTTCTTTTCCTCTCTCTTGTAATTATACCATCCACTATCACAGTCCCTATCATACTGTACTATAAGAATTTGTTGTCTTTTCTGTTCCCTAGTAAGCAGTGAGCTCCTTGAGAGTGGGAATGTTTCATTTCCAAGTCTCCAGTGCCTAACATTACCTAGAATATATAGGCACAAAATTACATTCTGAATGAAGTAACATCTACCCCAGATAATGTCTTTTTGAAGCCCCCTCGTATTGATGTATGTGTACCATTTTCATCAAACCATCATCTCAGAGAAACCCGAGGGAAAAGCATAGGAAATACAGACACTCTGGTACGTTCTAGAATAGCAGCTCTTTTGAGGTAGTCTGTATCTGTCCTGGTCAAATCTGCTTCCATTGTCTCACAGGACCTAGAACATGAAAGACACTGGATAAATGTCATACGTGCCTGTTGGTTAACCATTAGCCTTAAACAACACATTGAAATGCCTCATCCTCTAATATGCATTCTTAACTGAGACTGGCCAGATTTTTTCTTCTTTTTCTTGTATTACGCTTAGTAACACTGTAGTAAAGGCATTTCAACAGTGGCTGTTTTTATTCAGCAGATATCTATTAAGTGCTTACCAGGCATATTCCATCACTATCCTAAGAGCTGAGCATTGTTGTTCATTGCTATCGAGTTGGTCCCATGTAGGGTTTCCAAGGAGCGGCTGGTGAGTTTGAACCAATGACCTTGTGGTTCATACTGACCTTGCAGTCCAGTGCTGTAGCCCACAGTACCACACCAGGATTGCAGAGCTGGGCTTACAGCCAGGAAAAAAATAAGACAAAAATGTCTGCCTTTGTGGAGCTTCCACTCTTTACCTGGCAGGGGGCAAAAGAAAATAAACAAAATAAATATGTATGTATGTATGTGAAATGAGGGGTCATAATGTGGCACTGTAGAATAAGCACTGAACAGAAAGGTCAGTTTGATCACAGGGTCAGTAGTTTAAATTCATCACCTAGTCCTCAGAAACCCTATGTTGTTGTTAAGTGCCGTCGAGTCGGTTCCGACCCTTAGCGACCCTGTACAGGGTTTCCGAGGGTGTAAATCTTTACAGGAGTAGAAAGCCTCATCTTTCTCCCATGGAGCGGCTGGTAGTTTCGAACCACTGACCTTAAGGTTCGCAGCCCAATTCATAGCCACTACGCTACCAGAGCTCCTTCAGAAACCCTATACAGGGTCACTAATGGTCGGAACCGACTTGATTGCACTTAACAACAACAGCATGTAAAGTGATGAGTAACTACTGGTGGTGGGGGTGGTGGTGTGCTGTAGAGTCAGTTCTGACTCATAGCGACCCGCTGTAGGGTTTCTTTACGGAAGCAGGAAGTCTCATCTTTCTCCTGCAGTTCAAAACTGCTGGTAGATTTCGAACTGGCAGCCTTGAGGTTAGCAGCCAGACTTGTAACCACTACGCTACCAGAGCTCTTTGATGATCACTACTAAGGAGATTAATAAAGCAGGTAAGAGCTTCAAGGATTCAGGAAACAGAGCATATTTTAGTGTGGTCTCAGAAGACTTCTTTAAAGAGATGACATTTCATCAGAGACCTAGATGGAATGAGAGAGAAAGGTACAAGATCTAAGAGAGAATGCCCAAGCAGACCATTAAATATTAAAGGCCTTGAGGTGGACTTGGCATTTTCCAGGAACAGGGCATTGTGACAAACAGAATAAGTGAGGAAGAGAATCAAGGAAAATGAAATTGGCAAAGTAGCCCAAGACAGGGATTTAGAAACAGCACAGACAACTACTGCTTCAAGGCTGTAAAGAGGGAAATGTGGAGTGAGAAGCTCTTCTTTATCTGGTATTGCTGTAACAGAAATATCACAAGTAGATAACTTTAATAAACGGAAATGTATGTTCTCACAGTCTAGGAGGCTAAGAGTCTGCATTTAGGGCACTGATTCAAGAGGAAGGCTTTCTCTTTCTTTCAGCTCTGGGGGAAGGTCTTTGTCTCTTGTCAGCTCTGTGGTTAGTGATCTTCGTGTGGCATGGATAGGATCTGTCTTCCCTAACTCTGTTCTTTTATATCTCAAAGGAGATTGATTTAAGACACGGCTTACCCTGCCTCATTAACATAACAAAGAAACTCCATACCCAAATGGAATTAAATCCAGAAGAGTTGTTATTGAGTGCCCTGGAGTCATTCTCAATTTATAGCAACCCTGTGTAGGGTTTTCGAGGAGCAGCTGGTGAGTTTGAACCACCGACCTTGCAGTTCAAACCAACCTTGCAGTCCAGTACTTATCCTACAATGCCACATCAGGACTACGAGTAAGGATTTACAACATATCTTTTGGGGGACACAAGTCAGTCCAGCGGAAAGGTTTTGTTTTCTTTTGTTCATTAAGATGGGAGAAAATACAGTATGTTTGTGTGCTGGTGGGAATGATCCAGTGGATGAAAAATCTTAGAATCCTAAACAGGGAAGATTGGCTGATAGCTGGTGGTCTTGGATAGCAGCATAGCCAATCATCCATAATGCTGTCAGTGGAAAGGCAAATACGTGGGCAAAATGCAAGTAGGTGAGTGACTGTAGCGAGAAGAGCTTGTGGAAGTGCTCTTTGGGTTGTTCATGTTTTCTCAGTGAAACAGGAAGCAAGATCATCAGCAGAGAGTGAGCATGGGAAAGGAAGTGTTGGAATTTCAAAGAGAAGATATGAAACAGGTTTTGTTGGTAATGTGCGATGTAATTGTCATTTAAGTCTCATATACTTACTCAGTGGGATGTGTTTTTGCTCTGACACATCCAGGCTTTTGCTGCTGATCTGCACCCCTAAAAGAGACAATGAGACCACAGTCACCAAATGTAAATGTTACCTGTGGCTTGATGTGTGCCCAACTTACTGCATATAGGGTCTCGCGACACCACAACTGGACTCTCTTCATTTTGATCTATTAAAAGCAATAAAATAATACTTTACCCTGCAATTAAAATATTCTTCCTCAATACCATTTTTATGTGCCCAGTGTGTGATTTAAAATGTTAAAGCAAGCAACTTAAAAAATCACAGCAGTCTGAAATTTAGGATACTTTCTATTATATACTCAGGGAGATATGCTTAATTAACTGCAAGCACAATTTATTTTTGTTAGTAGAAGACGCTAGTCATGGAGAATAGATTTAATTAGTTCAAAAATAATTATATAATGGGGTTGATTTGTTGCACCACTTACAAGTGAGAAAAAGGATTAAGCAACATCAGACAAAAGACCATAGGGTACATTTAGTAGCAGCATAAGATGGAGTGGTGGTGGGGTGCCACTGAACCTACTTCAACTCATCGTCACTCAGTGTAAGGTTTCTGAGGCAGTAAATCTGCATGGGAGCAGAAAGCCTCATCTTTCTCCCATGGAGTGACTGGTAGATTCAGACTACTGATCTCATGGTTAGTAGCCCAACTCATTATCCACTACGCTACCAGGGCTCCTTAGAAGAGAGGGACCAAACCCAAATAGTAATAAGAAGAACTTATTTGAGCTGAATTTCTGGGTAGCAGTAGAGAGGGTTAGTCAAGTGATCTGGGAAAAGGAGAAAGTAGATTCAGTAATGAGAAATTCCACTCAGAGGTAATAAACAAGGCAAATGTGGGATGTCGTGGCAAGCATTTGGTTCACTTAAGTTATTATAGTTCTTATGCTGAGAGAACTTTATAGCCTACAACTGTCTGTAGTCATCAGTGGTTAATTAGGTAGACAACAGGAACCGAACCAGAATAAGGAGAGAAGAGTCTGATTAGCTCTATTTCTGTGTGCAAATTATCTTCTGATTGGTCTGCTTGTATTTCCCATAATGTGGTATGAGTACCATTGCTATCGACAATAATTTTAGATGTTATATTTTAATATAATTTTTCTGTTAACCCTAGATATGTTTTTAATGTATGTAGAAAATATATTTAACACATCAAATCTGTGATTTAAAAACTCCTGTTACTTAAGAGTAGAATAGGTAATAAATTGTTACCAAAAGTATACCAATTTAAAGATCACTATTAAGCAAAAGTCTGTTTGAACTGCAAGGTCAGTGGTTCAAGCTCACCAGCTGCTTCTCAGGAGCCCTATGCAGGGTCGCTATGGGTCAGAATCAACTTGATAGCACTTAACAACAACCACAATTAAGCAAGTAGTAGAACAAGTATTATCATATTGGCAAAAAATACAAATGACTGAAGTTTGAAAAGACTGGTCTAAGGCAAGGGTTGAGTGTTTATTTTAAGGAGAATATGATGATGGAAGCCTAGTAGATATTCTATTAATATAATTCTCTTTCTTTTCCTAGCTGGGCTTTGCAGATCTAAACCTGGCAGAGTTTGCTGGTTCAGGAAATACCACTCGTCGCTGTTTACTGGAAGGCTATGATACCAAAAATACAAGACAAGATAATTCCATCCTTAAAGTAAGCACAGTTCAAGATTTACATGTCAACAAATGAGACTCCTCTGTTAAATAAGCATAGGCATACACTGCTGTCAAGGGCAAGAGTGAATCAATATTGGGATCCGAAATTTGGCCACACCACTGCAGTATTTACCACTGTGATGGTTAAGGTTACGTGTCAACTTAGCTAAGCCATGATTCTCAGTGGTTTGGCAGTTACTGTGTCACCACTCTCCAGCTTATGATCTGATGTGAGCAGCCTATCAGTGGAAAGGGGAACTTCCTTGAGGGGGTGTGTCCTGAATCCACTATACATGGATTATGTGGCAAATCTCACTCTCACAATCCTGCATCTGACTCATCATCCTCTGACATCTCATTCTTGGGATATGAGCCAGCAGCCTGCCATATGACCTGCCAATTTTGGGTTTGTCAGTCCTTGCAGCTATGAGTTAGGAGAAGCCTCCAGTCTGGCACCTGACTTCTGATACATGGATTTGGGACTTGCCAGCTTCCACAACCTTGGGAACCATTTCTTAGAAACTAATCTCTCTACCTTTATATGTATGTGCTTCATTAGTTTTGTACCTCAAGAGAACGCGGCCTAAAACGTTTGGTGCCAAGAATGTTTCTAGAGGAATAAAATTGTAAGGATGAGTTTTCTGAATTGGTTCTTGAGTCTGACTAGTCTTAAAGGTCTTTACTAGTCTGACTAGTCTTAAAGGTCTTAAAGGTCTTTACTGCTTCCAGAAGTAAAAACTAAAGGCACTGCTAATCCATGGTGTGGGGTGGCAATAGAAATAGGCAAAATATCACCACCAATACATCAAATATTTATGAGAGACAAGGCTCTGGGTGTTTGCATTTTGATACTTTTCTACAGTTTTGTCAGAATGAGAAGAATAGGCAGGTCCTTGATTCCAGTGAGTTGCAGTCTTACGTTTGTATTAAGTCTGATCTGTACGTAGGTTAGAACAGTTAGGTATGGTTCATACCCAACGTCAGTTAGTCAAATGTTTGTCTTAGTATATACTTTATAGTGTATCTTTCTATGTTTGTCTTAGTATGTACTTTATAGTATATCTTTCTATGTATTAAGAACATTAAAGAAACACTTTCAGATACACTAACACATCTTTAACATAATAATACAATAGTACTTCTTAGAGTCCTGGTGTGGCACTGTGGGTTAATGCACTGGACTGCAAAGTTGGTTTGATGTGCAAGGTCGGTGGTTCAAGCTCAGCAGCTGCTCCTCAGAAATTCTATATAGGGTCTCTGTGGGTTGGAACCAACTCAACGCACTTAACAACAAAATAACAACATCATGAATGTGTGATACCAAGTAGTGCCCGTTTGTTTTTATGAACCATTGTATATACCTTGAATTTTTAGTATATTAGGCTTTAGGGGGGTTAGCTTCTAACTATGGGCTGTACATAAGTCAAACATTTATAGCCCAGGGACAGCCTGTGTGAGGGTAAGTAAAAGTACTGCTACTAGGGTTCCAGTTTATACATGTAGGAATTTATTCCATGTGGATGCATTTGAAATGTTTCTTTGATCAGTAGATGTCTGCAGACAAATTATCTCAGTAATGAACTTGTCCTAGTCTTATTAGGGTGCTTTCAAAATAAAAGAGACTAAAATAAAAACCATGTGCAAAGATCAGCTAGATGAAAGAGCTAATCTTTCCAACAGTGTTTCAAGCAAGATTAAAGCTAATGTAGACAATTTTATGGAATGATCATAACCGGGGATGAATCTTAGATTTACCAATATGATCCAGAAAGTAAGGTTCAAATCAAAACAGTGGTTTCTGAGCTGATCTGCTGGGCCAGTTACATTCAAGGCAGAGAGGTCAGTCAGAGGGTTATGGCAGTTGTATTTTGGGATCCCAAAGAGACAGGCGTGATAAGTTTTCAGGAAAAAACACAGGACAATCACGGAGACTTTAACTGTTGTTGTTAGTGCCAACAATTCAGGTCCAGCTCATAGCAACCCTGTGTGGGATTTCCAAGGAGCAGCTGGTAAGTTTGAACTGCCGACCCTGTGGTTCAAATCACCCTTACAGTTTAGGTTGAGTGCTTATCCTACAGCACCATACCAGGACTCTGGGCCTTAATAGGAAGAATTTTTTAAGAAACTGAAAAACTGCATTGGTTGAAAAACTATCCAGGAAAATTGCACTAAGAAATTTTTTTCCATCCTGACAATGTACCTCTCACTTACAGGATAGATAGCAAGGACTGTCTTAGGAGAATTTCATTAGGAAATTTTAGCCTGCCCACCCTGCAGACTGATCCTGCCCCTTCAGACTTCTTTTTAGTTGAACACAATCACAGTGCAGACCCTTAGGATTTTGGAGCAAAATTCTGCCGTTCTGTATAGGTAACTGCTTTCCTTTTGAGATACAGTCTTTGACTTTTTATTGGGCCTTAGTACAGACTCAATACATAACCAAGAATCACCAAGTTACTACTTGGCCTGATCTGCCCATCACGAACCTGGGTCTTGTCTGACCCACAGTGTCATGAAGTCCAGCATGTACAGCGGTACTTCATTCTTCAGTAGAAATGGTTTGTACAAGGTTGGACTTGAACAGAACTTGAAGGTACAAGGAAGTTACACAAGGAAGTGACCCACCTGCCCATGGTTTCCACTCCTGTCACATTACCTTCCTTCTCGCAGTCTGCATCTGAGGCCTCATGGAAAGCTCCTTATGATCACTGGAATAAAAAGGACACTGATGCTTGGTTTATAGATGGTTTTGCACAATATACAGGCACCATTAGGAAGTGGGCAGCAGCGGCACTGCAGTCCCTTTGCCTCCCTAAAGGACAATGGCGAAGGTAAATCCTTCCAGTAGGCAGGATTTCAGGCAGTACACCTGCTTGACTTGTTCATTTTTCTTGGGAGGAGAGATGGCCAGCTGTGCAATGATCTATTGATTCGTGGGCTATATATAGTCAGTTGGCTGGATGGTCAGGAACTTGGAAGAAACAAGATTGGAAAATCAATCCAAGGAGGTGTGGGAAAGAGGTATGTGGACAGACTGCTGTGAGTGGACCCAAGAAATGAAGGTATTTGCGTTTTGTGTGAATGCCCACCAAAGAGTGACCTTAGCAGAAGAAGATTTTAACAATACAATTGACAGGATAATATACTCTGTGGATACCAGTCATGGTTTTTGCCCAGCCACTCCTCTCTTGTCATTGCCAAATGGGTTTTGCATGAGCTTAGCAACACAAACTTCCACTCACTCACCAAGACTGACTCGTCTGCAGCTTCTGCTGAGTGTCCAATCTGCCCGCAGCAGAGACCAACAATGAGTCGCAGTATGGAGCCATCCCTTGGGGAGATCAGCCAGCAAACTGGTGACAGGTTGATAGACATTTTGGGTATGAATTTGCCTTGTCTGCATGCATTCCTTTTCCTCAAACTACCATCCGTGGACTTAGAGAATGCCTTATCCACAGTCATTGTGTCCCACACAGCATTGTCTTGGAGCAAAGAACTCACTTCACAGCAAGTGAAAGGCAACGATGGACCCAGGCTCATGGAATTCACTGTTCTTACTATGTTTCCCATCATCCTGAAGAAGCTGGCTTGATTGGGCTTCTAAAGACACAATTATGGTGCCCGCTAGGCGTAGTTCTCTGCAGGATTAGGGCAATGTTCTCCAAGAGGCACTATGTACTCTAAACCAGCTTCCTCTCCTAGTCATTTCATTAACCATCCTCATCAACATATAAACAAACAGCTCTGGTAGCTCTCATAGTTAAAAAACAAAAAGACTTGTCATCTCCTCCAACCACTCTTCTACTTTATGCTTCATTTCACTACAAAGTACATTTTTTTTAACTTTATGTGCCATTTCCACTTCTTGAGACATTTAAGATTTTCAAGAGTGCTATTTTAATGGATTTGAAAATCAGATTATAGGGCTTTATGAAAGAACAGGCGATGAAGAAACCAACACAACAAATATAAGTCATTTGATAAATTGGCAGTTTTAATAAAAAGGACGCTAGTGGAAGGATGTAATGAAATAAGCGATAGGAATACAATGAGGCCGTATATGTATGTATATATATACATGTTGTTATGGGCCATTGAGTTGGTTCCGACTCAAACCCTGCATAGGATTTCTGATGCTGTAAATCTTTGGAGCAGGAAGCCTCATCTTCTCCCTGGAACAGCTGTCAGGCTGAAGCTGTTGACTTTGTGGTTCACAGTCCAATGTTTATCGTATGGTGCCACTGTACTCCTATATATATGTATGTGTAATTCTGTAGGTATGTGTATATATATGTATTATGTGTGTGTGTGTGTATATGTTGTTAAGTGCCGTCGAGTCAGTTCTGACTCAGTGACCCTGTATAGGGTTTCCAAGGAACAGCTGGTGAGTATGAACCACTGGCCTTGTGGTTCAAACCGATCTTGAGGTCCAGTGCTGCTTTATCCCACAGCAATACACCACGACTCTATGTGTGTATATATTTATGTATATGTATATATATGTGTGTGTGTATGTATACATATTGTTGTTGTTGTTGTTAGGTGCCATTGAGTCATTACCGACTCATAGCGACCTAACACTGCCCGATCCTGGGCCAACCTCACTACTGTTGCCACGCTTGAATTCATCGATGCTGCCACTTGGCCAATCCATCTAGTTGACGGTCTTCCTCTTTTTCTCTGACCCTCCACCTTAACAAACATGATATCTTTCTCCAGTGTCTGGTCCCTCCTGACAATATGTCCCAAAGTATGAGAGACGAAGTTTGGCAGCCCATGGCACTATCAGTATTCTCCTCCAGCACCGTAACTCAAAAGCATCAGTTCTGCGCTCTTCCTTATTCACTTTCTCATGCATAATGAAGTTATTGAAAATACCATGGCTTAAGTCAGGCGCATTTTAGTCCTCAAGTTGACATCTTTGCTCTTCAACACTTTAAAAGGTCTTGTGCAGCAGATTTGCATTAACGCAATACATCATTTGATTTCTTGACTACTGCTTCCATGAGTGTTGGTAGTTGATCCAAGAAGAATGAAGTCCTTAACAACTTCAATCTTTTCTCTGTTGATAAGAATGTTGTTTATTGGTCCAGTGGTAAGGATTTTTGTTTTGTTTACAATGAGATGCAATCCCTACCGAAGGCTGTGGTCTTTGATCTTCATCAGTAAATGTTTTAAGTCCTCTTTACTTTTAGCAAGCAAGGTTGTATCATCTGCATATCGCAGGTTGTTAATGAGTCTTACTCTGGTCCTGATGCCACGTTTTTCTTCATATAACCCAGCTTCTCGGATTATTTGCTCAGCATATAGGTTGAATAAGTATGGTGAAAGAATATAACCTTGGCACACACCTTTCTTAATTTTAAAGAATTCGATGTTCCCATGTTATATATACGTGTGTGTGTGTGTATGTGTGTGTGTGTGGAGAGAGAGAGAGAGAGAGAGAGAGTTCTGGCATGGCACTGTGGGTTAATGCGCCAGACTGTTAAGCCGTTTGATCTGCAAGGTCGGTGTTCAAGCTCACCAGCTGCTCCTCAGAAACCCTATACAGGGTCGCTGTGGGTTGGAACCGACTTGTTGACGGCACTTAGCCAACAACAATAGATCAATAGATAGATATAGTTGTTGTTACATGCCGTTGAGTCGATTCCGACCTATAATGGCTCTGTATAGGATTTTCGAGGAGCAGCTGGTAAGCTTGAACCGCCAACCTTAGAGTTCAAATGACTTTGCAGTCTGGTGTATTAACCCACAGCACCACACCAGGACGATACACATACATATATGTACTTGTTGGGGAGCGTGGTATCTCCGTACAATAAGCACTACTCTGCGAACCACAAGGTCCATGGTTCAAGCCTGCTGAGCCTTTTGCTCCCACAAAAATTTAAAACAGCACTCCTAAACAGGGTCAGTATAAGTTGGAGCCAACTCAGTGGCACTTTAAACAACAACAATATTTGTTATCTGTTAGTTAGAAAATGTGCAGTAATGTAAATATCCTGATATTCATTAAGACCATGAGCTTTGGTATTATACAGTCCTGGGTTCAAATCCTAACTCCACTCTTTACTAGATAGCTAACCTTGAAAATATCACTTAGTTTCCCTGGACTTAATAGGAAAATAACTTATAGGATTATATTAATAAAAGAGTGTACATAAAACATGCCTGGCACATAACAAATTTTCAAATCATGATAGCTGTTAATGTGATAATCACCATTATTATTAATTCCATGCGAACATAAGATCCTGTGGCTGATTCTTTTGTTGTTCCTGTTTGAGTGAAAGTTAAAGAGCTAATCAATTTTCCATTCAGAATTTGACACACATTTTGTTTCATAACATTAGTTGCAATTCACTCTGTAATAGCACTCCATCCACTTCCTCCCAGGCTTCCTGTATCCATCCATTCATCCTTCCCTGCCCTGTAGCTTTCTGAGTTTTGTTTGAGGGCAAATGCTGTCATTTGGTCTTGTATAGTTCTGAGAAATACATTTCTCCCCAATGTTGTTGTTCACTTTATAGACCTGTGTGTTGTTTGGCATGAAGGTGATCCCTGGGGGTGAATTCAGTTCAAGATTTGAAGACTGTCCAAGGACCACAGTCTCAGGGTTCTACCAGTCTCTTTCAGACCAGTAAAACTGGTCTTTTTATTTTTTTGGATTTTGTTCTACATTTTTTTCTGTCCATTCTGACCTTCTGTGGCCCTGATCTGAGTGGTTAGGAGTGGTAATGGCCCACCATCTAGTTTTCTGGTCTCCAGGTCCTAGGGGCTGTGGTTCACATGGTTCACGCTAGTCCTTTATACTAATTGTTTCCTTGAGTCTTTGATTTTCTTCACTCTTCACTCCAGACAGGGAGAAACCAATATTTGCATCTTAGATGGCAGCTCACTAGCTTTTAAGCTCTCAGAAGCCACTCACCACAATAGGATATAAAACATTGTCCTTGTGAACTATGTTATGCCAGTTGGCCAACATGTGTTCCAACACTATGGTCCTAAGCCCCTTAGCCCAATGATTCATTCCCTGAAGGCATTTGATTAGCACTAAGAAGTTTACCTAACTTTGCTTCTGTATACATATATGGACATACTCATATTTGCAGCACATATAAAAGCATATGTAGGAATATTCTCTGCAGACTTACATAGGTTCGTGGATGTAGTCCGTTCATCTTCCCATATCTTTTTGTCTTGTATGGCTGCATGTTTATCCATTCTTAGACTATTGTTTGCTATTAATGTTATTTCAGGATTGCGAATGCAATAGTACTTACCTTTGTTGTCTGTAACTCTTGTGCACATCTTCAGCATTTTCCTTTGCATTGGTCACACTATGCACTGTGCTATTTACCTCCCTGTTGTATATTACCTTTTCTTTCACCCTATGGCTCATTTTTTAAAGGCAACCAGCAACTAGAGAATAGCAGGATTTCAGAAAGGATTAGAAAATTTTAAACCCTGCTCTGTAACTGAATCAAAAGGCCAGAAATATTCTGGTATTGGAGGCAACCAGCTGGCATCCCCTGAGGCATCAAAATGAAAGTTGGAAGGAAACATGACAAGATGTTTAAGCACCACAAGAATCTAGGAATTGAGACATACACTAGACCAGCGCATTCGCTCCCACAGGATTGTTAGTGGGAAAGCACTCGTCTTTGCTTCCTGGTTTTTTGTTTTTTGTTTCTTTTTTGTATTAACAGGGTTTTGAACATTAAAAATTATTTATGCTATATGTACAAAGCAGTCATTTAACATTGGATATAACCATTTCACATTTAATGCTTTCCAAATAAAAAATATTGACCCTAGGTGCTATGAAGGATGCAGAAGATGATGTCTCTCATGGTACCCGTTTTAATCATGGTGTTTGTTTTTCGTACATGTAGGTCTTGATCAGCATGCAGCTGATGTCTGGTGACCCATGCTTTAAAACGTAAGTTGATGCCCAGTAAGTGGGTTATTTCTCTGGAAGTATTTTTGTGATTTGCTTGTGTAAAGTTTTTACATTAATTGATAGTTGACAATCCAATACCAGTGATAACAGGGAAAGGTTATCCCTCTCCTGGAAGACTGGCCTGGCCCATGTAGAAGTTACTACTACCTATTACCAAATGGTCGAGTCCTGCTGTGGCGTTGTACTGCTAACCACAAGGTCAGATATTCAGACCCACCAGCTGCTCCTCAGAAACCCTATACAGGATGGCTATATGTCAGAGCTGACTCGATGGCACTTAACAACTTCAATAGCAACATTACAAAATGAAGTACTTAAGTTATGGGCCTTTTATCATCTTCAGGTTTTGAGTGAAACCATACAAACTAAAATTTTTATTTTAGCATTTGTGAATTTATTATGGACTTTCCTCAGTAAATCTTTATTGAGTGCCTTACTATGTGCTGGAGCCCTGGTTTGGCACTGTGGGGTAAAGCAAGGTTGGTTTGAACCACAAGGTTTGTGGTTCAAACTCACTAGCTGCTTTTGGGAAACCCTGTACACGGTCACTGTGAGTCGGCATCAACTTGACAGCAGTAACAATAACAACAAATATGTACCAGGTGCTATTGTAGAAACTCAAGAAATAGCAGTGAACAAAATAGACTAAGTCCTTTCAAACATACCAACCAACCAATATATAAAATATAATGATTTGTGGTTAAGAGAAAAATAAAGCATCTTGGTAAGAGGACTTCAGTAAGGGGGAAGTATTTTATATAATCAGGGAAGACTTCTGTGGTAAAGATGACATTTGACCAGAAACCTGAAGGAGGTAGGAAAATACCTGGGGAAAGATCATCAAAAGTAGAAGGTACAAGGACAGAGGTCTTGAGGGAGTACCTTGGCTTGTGTAAGTAGATACAAGGAGACATTGTATCTAAGTCACAGTGAATGAGGAAGAGGGTGGTAGAAGATGAGGTCATATGATTATCTTTTGACCATTGTAATAAGTGGGTGTACTTGTATTCTCAGTAGAAAAGAAAGTTTCTGAAGGGTTTGGGGCCAAAAAAAGTAAAAGTATATGACCAGTAAGCAGGGACTTGACAATGTGTGGGAGCAATAAGCATGGCAAAGTCAGAAATGTGGAGATGAATTAGGAAACTGTTTCAGTAATGCAAGCAAGAGATGATGGTGTCTTGGACCAGGCTGTTAGGAACACAGAATGGCATGAAGAATTCTGGCTTGAGTAACTGGGAAAACGGTGTTTCCATTCACTGAGATGAAAGGCTACAATAGGAACAAATTGGGAGCTTAGATTTTAGACATGTTAAGTAGCAGTTGGATTTATGAGTAAGGAAGTCCTGACTGAAGATACAGATTTTGACATCATGACATCATCAGCACATAGATGGTAATTAAAGCCATAAGTAAGACTTGATGAAATGACGTGGAGAATTAGTATGGCTAGAGAAAAGGAGAGGCCTACAGACTGGTGTGAGGCACTTCATTGTATAAGAGGTTGGGGAGATGGAGGAGAGCCAGCAAAGGAACAGCCAATGAGACAGAGGAAGAGAGAACCCAAGGAGAATGCTCTCCTGAAAACCAGATGAATCAAGTGTCTCAAAGGGAAGAAGTAATCGACTACATCTGTACGACTGAATAAGTAAGTCAAGTTCAAGGAGGAGTAAGAATTGACCTTTGGATATGCAGTATAGAATGCTCTTAGAATAAAAGAATCTTGAAAAATTGGAGATAGTATACACCATTCTTATGAGGAATTTTGGTGTAAAAAGGAACAGAGCAATGGGGTCTTAGATAAAAAGAGGCTATGGGGTTGTGGTGCAATTAGTTTATGTGGCCTTTCTGGCTCGGGATTTGCAACTCTCCCACAATGATTAATTGGGCCACGATCTGCCAAGTAATTGGTCTGTTTGCTGTCTGCCTAAGTGGCTGTAAGGGATTGGTCAGTTTGTTATCTACCTAAGCGGTTTAATAAGATTGATCAATGTACTAGCCATCTAAGAGGCTTACATCTACCCAGTATGATTTGTTGTTGTATGATCCACCTAAGGTATTGGTCAGTGTATGATTCTGCTAGGAAAGCCATGCATGCTTATATAATTGGCCAAATCTCACAGAGGCCCTGTAGGGACCTTCTGAACAACAAGAACATGGAGAGGAGTGTGTCCTTTGGACCTGGTGTTCTTGTACTGAAAACCTCCTAGACTCAAATAAACGCTGGAATGTGGGTCAAGGGCTGTATGACTCAGCCAGTAACACAGAAGTCCAGAAGGGGCCCAGCAGCAGAACCCACCCAGAAGAGACTCAGTGGCACAGAGAACAGCCAGGAGGATGTCAAGAGTGGTAAGTTGACCCACTGAGTAGTTGGCAGTGGTAGACAGAGTTGATCCACAGAGCAAAGCTAGACACCTTATAAGGAGGAAGCAGCCACAGCCCAGGCCCGAACAGGCAGGCACTGAGCAGAGCTGGCAACAGCATGGAGCCCAAGCTGGCCTGCCTTTGCCGAATGAGAGCTGTAGTACCAAAGCCAAGAGGAGTCCTTTCCAGAGGGACCCTAGAGCAGGCCTGTCCTGAGAGGGCTGATAGGTTGCCAGCAGAAGCTTGGGCAGACATATACGGGGGTTGTCTATAAAAGTTGTGCCTCAAGAGCTGTCATGGTGCCAGCCTAGACATGACACTGGCCCAGGGTTGTTCCAAAGCTGTTGTTGATATTTGGGCCAGTAAGCACAGGGTACCAGGCTAAGCCAAGAAAAGCGACACAGAGAGGCAGAGAGAAAGAATGAATACAATACAGCTGTGCCACATCAGACTTGAGCTAACTAGAGAGACATCTGCTCACACTTGTGCCGCAGTGTGCCTAGCCAGTGGCACAGAAGTCCGCATGATAATTTGGGAAAGGTGAACTGGTTCCCTTTTACACAGAAGTGGGTTCCTCTCTTACATTGCTAAGTGGGAGTATTTCACCTTAAATCTCTTCCTGTTGTTTACTGTTTGCTTTCTATATGTAATCCATTTCTGTTGTTTACTGTTTACCTTCTATAAGTTACAATGATAGCTTTCAATTGCCAACACTTTATAAAGTGTCTTTGTGTCTACAACCCACCCAATCAGGTTGGATAATAGAGTCCTTATCCAACTCTCATGATTGCTTGGGATTTAGAGTACAACCTGTGTGTGTACAGTTTAAGGGTTTTGATTTTGTTTTTTAAGATGGGAGACATGATAGTAGATTTTTATACTGATGAGAGTGGTCCAGTAGAGAGGGAGAAGTTGATGATGTAGAAAAGAAAAGGGACACAGCACAGTATCTTTGGACTGTCGAAATGGAAGGGATCTAGTACCCATTTATCCATTGTAATTGGATGAAGGCAGGGAAGATGGCTCCAGATGCAAATATAAGAAATGGGAATATATGGAAGCTTTCTTCTAATTGCTCTTAATTTCTTTTTTCTTGAATGTTTTATTGTGAATTATGTGATAGTTTACATGGAGAACATTAGTTTTACATTCATTCTATCATATGTCGTCTCATTGCCATGGTTATAATCCCCCCTAGGTCTTCAGCACACAGTCGCTCTCCCTCTCTGGATCTAAAGTCTCGAGCTGCTCCATCGCTCCACGTCATCATCTCTGGCTCCATTTCAGGCATCACTGCTTCTCTGGGTAGGGTCCCGCTCTCTGCTCTTTTCCCTTGATGGTCCTAGGGACCTCTGCTCCTAGACTGAAAAGTTAATCACTCCCCTCCTTGCTATAAAACGTCTACCTTTACATTTCTGACCCTCACAATCAGTCCTGATAACAATTATTCACTATTGTATCACAAGAGACCCGTCTGCATTTCATTGCCTCAACCCTGCCTAGTCAGATTGACTACTACTCACTGGAGATTCTACCTTCCTTCATGCCCTCTGGATCTAGGTTCCCTCTTGAAAGCTTGTAAGCCAGTCACTTCTTGCCTTTGTAGCTCCCCAGCCCTCATTTTGGGTAGCCAGTATCCAAGTTGCCCATCCCTGTGTGTGGAGGGGGTGGGAATTATTCTTGCTGTAAGGACTTGTTCCCCTTTTTGTAATTGCTCTTAATTTCTTGTTGAGATAGGAGCCAAGGTAATCATTAGAGAGCAAATATGGGGAAGGGGAAGATGGAGGTGAAAGTATGCGGAGAGAAAAGAGGTTGTACAAGACCCTTCAGAGAGTGGGAGGGGGAACTGATGGGTAAATGCCTATCGGCAATCTGGAAGGCACTGAATAAATTTTAAAAATGAATGTTCATTCGATTTTAAATATCTGCAAAACTATATATTTAGAAAAGTAATGAAAATATTATTTCTCTTTACCTAAGTTTATTATAGCTCTTTCCCTAACTTAGAAAGCAATATCCATATAATTCTCTACTTGCATATTGTTTATAAAGATGAAAATGTATTTTTAATTCAAATAGATTCGTGATTAAAACTATGCATTTTCTTAACCACTTATCTTTCCTGTATTGCCTTCCCACCAACCACAATTTCCTGCTGTTTTCTTTATTTCCTCCTCTCTTAGGACCAAACCATTTTTGGTGTACTATGTCTGATTTCTCAGGTAAACTTAATTTGCCTTTCTAGTAGAATCAGTTGAGCATTAAACAAGAGAATGAAAAGCAAAACCTAGCAGAATGAGTTCACCATTCCTTCTGGTGGCTTTTTTTATGGATACCTCCTCTCTGACCCCTTTACTGACATTTTTTCTTCGCTTGTCAAACTCAGATATTCAGGCTGGAGTAAATTGAAAATATATCACCTAATATTCTGCTGGAGTCCTGGTGTGGTACTGTGTAGGATAAGCATTGGACTGCTAGCCACAAGGTCAGCTGTTTAGACCCACCAGCTGCTCCTTGGAAACCCTATACAGGGTCGCTATGAGTCAGAACCCCCTCAGCGGTACTTGACAACAACAGTATTCTACTATATTATCCCCATAAATGTAACATGGCAAACC